CAAGTATTTCTTAAACTCATTTGGTCACAAAACTTTTTTTTTCTAGGTATAGTACCCTTTAGAACTAGTGTTATTCAGGGCATACTTTGTGAAGCCCTGCTCTAAAATAATCTTTTTACAGGAGAGGTCAGTAGTCCCTGGGGATCTCCCAGAATCATAGAGGCTTGGTTTCACTGCATTCAAATCACACCAAGGATTTATTTACTCTGTCCAGAATCCAGGTACGGCTTTCTCTAGTATGGCACTTGGAACACTAGAATCAGTTAGTTCTGAAGAAATGTATGCTACTGGTAAAATTTACTTAAGGACAGAGATTCAGAGACCATTGCGGAAGGATACCAAAGGTCTTTCAGGGATCACCTATCTCTGTCCTAGGTATATGTATCATCAGACACCTGATAATCTGATATAGAATTTTGACTTGAATTGATGTCAGATTTAATTACCCAGTTTTTAAACTCTGCTGCTCTTTTTTTTTTCAAATCAAGACAGAGATTTGTTCATATCTTATATTCTGAAACATTGCCCAGTTTATGTGTTTCTCAATGGCAGTTAAACAAGCTCAACTTTAAGTTCTGTCAGAAGGCTGGAATGGAGTTCTGCAGGATCAAATGAGTTGGACTCATTTAGCAAAGCATAGATGCTTTCATATAATTATCTCATCTACTTTGGGGCTTCAACTCCTTCTAACCAACACCCGTTGACCCTTTCCAGTATGTACATACTTCTCCTTGATCATATAGAAGGCATTGTAAAAAGACTTGCACAACTTCATTTTAACTCTCTATCTTTTGCCATTATATCATTAGCCCCTGGGGTGAGACTAGGCTAGAAATAGATTTCAGCATCATTCCCATAAAATAGGAGGTGGAATACATTATTAGTTGTACACGTAAAAACTGCTGATGCCAATGAAATGTATTTGGTGATAAATTTATAATTACTTTTATTGTTTAATATTCTAAGATATTTCTGTATATCAATTTTAATAAATTAATTACTGATTTGTTTTACCTTAATGGTTTCAGGTAGTTAAGCTTTTTTAAAAACCAGGCCTGTAGCCTCCTGGGACATTTGTGTTTGCTTTTAAAAACCTACTATTTCACAAAAATCAGACCACACTATCTGTAAATATTAAATAATATATCTTTAAAATCTTATACCTGAATATTTAGCACAATTAACAGCACTTTTGCGTTTGATTCTAAGAATTTTATGAGGTAGGTGTGATATTATGAAATAGAGGTTTGGTCCCCCTTTCCCTTCCTATGATACAACTACCAAAAATCATTGAAATTTACAAAGAGATGTCTTTTTTATATGTTAATGAGTTTACTGATGGCTAGCAGCCCCTAGGTAGCTTCAGAATGGGGGCTGGTCAGAGGAAGGACCTAGGCAGGATTAGAGGGTTAGGACTTTTAGCCCTAACCCCCAACCTATAGGGAGGGGAAAGGGAGTGAAGGTTAAGTTGATCACCAATGGCCAATGATTTAATCAATCATGCCTATGTAATGAAGCCTCCATCAAAACCCAATAATGACTGGGTTTGGAAAGCTTCCAGGTAGCTGAACAAGTGGAGGTTCAGGGAGAGTGGCACATCTAGAGAGGGTATGGAGCCTGTGTGCCTTGCCCTATGCATCTTTTCCATCTGGTGTTCATTCATCTGTATCTTTTGTAATATCATGTATAATAAAGCTGTAAACATGTTTACCTGAGTTTTATGAGCCATTTTAGCAAATTAATCAAACCCAAGGAGGGGGTCAAATGAATTCCCATGTATAACCAGATCATCAGAAGCACAGGCACAAAATAACCTGGGGCTTCTGATTGGTGTCTGAAGTGTGGAGCAGTCTTGTGGGACACAGCCCTCAACCCATGGGATCTGATGCTCACTCCAAGTAGATAGCATCAGAATTGAATTAGAGGACACCCAGTTGGTGTCTACTGCAGAACCAATTGCTTGCTCAGTGAGTGAGGGGAAAATCCCTGTATTATCTGGGGTCATGGAAGTGTTCTGTGTTATGAGAGTATAGGAGCAACTGAGTATATTTTTCCAGTAGCCTCAGTGGGTCAAATCAGGACTTTTTCAGATGGCCTTAAAGACAATTCAGTCAAAATACGAAGTACTGGTTTTTTTTTTTTATTACCATTAATTGATGCAGCAGACATTTCTGGTCCTTACTCTATCCCTTTACTCCTATCATCAATACATGGAGTTTTATTTTCTACTGTATTTGTTTGTTTACTTATTTGATATTTTTCAAGAATACAATATTTTTATAATCAGAAACTATAAAGATGTTCTTAAGTCCATTAGAACTGAATTAGCTTCTAAGGGGTTATCAATTCTGTCCACCATATCCATCATTGTAAATGAGTTTTTTTCAGTAGTAAGCATAAAATATCTATATTACTGAGTGAAACAAAAGAACTGTTAGAAATATAATTAAGGAATCTCTGAACAAGTCTGGAGCTAAGAATAAGGAATCAATACTTACTACCACATCAACCAATGTGAAAAGGGTAGCATAATCATGAAGCTTGCAGAATACAGGGTGTCAATCCCTGGGATTTTCAAGTTGTAAAACTGGGCAAGTACTATTATTAAGCAGATAAATATATTTATATTTATTTATTAATTAAAAATAGGTTAATACTGATATCATCTTCATAAAGGAGAAATAAAACAATTGGAGATGTAGATCATACAATGTACAAGTGAGTTCTCAGAGGAGTAGAAACTTCGGTGATAATGATTGATACACCTCTCTGAAGTAAACAAGGGTAGTCAATATCTGCTTCACAGTTAGATGTGGTTTTTCTGCCAGATAGTGCCTGATTTCATTTCTTATATACTATTCCTGAGCTTCAAGCTCTCTCTCCTTCATACCCAGAGATGGGGGCCAGTGATGAATGAGGCTTAGGGATTAGGTGAAGGTATCAGTTTTATACATTAATTGTAGTCCAACTTCATCAAGGTGGCTGCCTCAAAACACTATATATCCAAGAAATGTGAAGGGCAGGTATGGTTACCCTTTTATGGATGAAGGAATTTTTTTCTCCATCTCAATCTTTTACTTTATTTAATAGGTCACCTCTTGACTGGCAGCAGATATTAACAGCACTCTGTGTGAACACAGGTCTGTGTGTGTGTGTGTGTGTGTGTGTGTGTTTGTTTTAAATTCATAATTTAACAATCAGAGCTGACTGGATGACCCCACTTGACACCCATTCTCTGTTCACACATAAAGTTTATTCAAAATGATACTGCTAATGATATTAGTGAGTTATTGATCTAGTATTTTACCAGGATGTTTGATATGTCACATGTTTCTAATTAAATTTTCATTGATTCTTGAGAAACAGCATTAAAATGAACAAGGATTAGATTTGAAAGCTCTTCACACAGCGCACAAATATAAATGTAAATGTACAACTCAATTTAAAGATTTTATAAGGTTGATTTTCAGCTGTTTGCACACACCTCCCCCGTAAAAAAAAAAAACAAAGGTTCCTTTTAAAGTCACTTACAAGCTAGCATTTCTGAAGTGTTTTTTGATTTTTCCATTTGGAAGAGTTATTAGATGGCCAGATGTAGAACAATTAAAAAAAAATATCTAGCACTATAATACAGTAGATAAGATCTTAGTTATAACTTTGGGAAGTTTCTGAACCTCTCCACGTCTGTGCCTCAGTTTCTCATCTATAAACCCTAATAAGGTCGTTGTGAGGATGAAATAATCCATATAAAGCTCCTTGGATAGTACCTTGCACATATTGACCAGTATATCATCACCCTTTGTTCACTCAGCAGAAAAAACTGGCTAGCCGGCTGGATGACATTCTCTTACTCTTGAGAATGGTGGTGGTATGCTAGGTCCTGTGGTCCATATACACATCAAGAAGATACTTCTTAAGTCACCCTCAGTGAGTACTATGGAGTTCAGTGGTGCTGAAGTATATTGCAAGGCAAAATCTGGTGGGTACGTAGGCATTATGATTGGAATTTCAAGTAGGAATAAGTGCTGAACACATTTAAATCACATTATGTCAGGTAAGGCACCCCTCAGGACTTGCAGCTCCCTTAACAGCTAGATATTAAAAAGGCAATCAAACTCAATGTTTCCTGGGGCACAAATAAGGTCAGGATAAATTCCTTTGCAAAAAAATGCAAAACAATTGATAAAATGCTAAAATGCAAAGCATTTGTGGAATGGTTAGGTTTTCCCCTTTCTAGACAGCAATTCATTTAGACAAATCTCCTTCAATGTATGATCCAAAAGCATACTAGGCCTGGAGAAAATAAATAGGTTCACAAATTAGAGAGAGGTACTGGAAAGACAACCCATATTATTCTCCCTTAACTGCAGTTATCAATGGGGTTTGGCAAAGAATGTAAATTTATCTGTAAAAATTAGCGCGTTCCTTATTTTGTTCTGGGATTCTGGAATGATAATACTTGTGCTTGTAACTACCTTTGCTAGGCTTAAGAACCATGAAAAAGGCACTTTCATGTGACATTTGTGATTCTTTTTTGCTAGCAAGTTTTGGCAGCATGGCTTTGTGGATTTTCAAGCCCGGGGGCTTGGAAGTTCTGCCTTCATCTCTGAAATTCTGCATTTCTGCTCTTTCCAGGCTCCTTTACCTACTGGGCAGTCTTATAGCTATCTCTGTGGCAAGGCAGGGCCTCTCTTGGCACAGAAACCTGCCAAGTGAATACGCCCCTCAGGGGCGTGTCGGTACCGTTTCCTGGAGCAATCTCATAGGGTGGCTCCGCTTTCCATTTGCACTCAAATACTTTGCTGCCTCCTCTGCTGTTGCCAGACCTGCCCCTGCTGCTGCTCAGGTAACACTCATCTCTCCCTGGCACCACTATGGGCAGACGTGGTTGATAAATGTCTTCTACAGGTTCGCCTGCCTGCCTGCCCTTTCTTTTATTGTATTTCTCTGTTCCTTAGGAAAAGCGTCTGGGGAGTCTCTTGCTGACCACTGAGAAGATGATGAGCTCAGGCTATTGGAGTGAGACCAGCAGGAGCAGCTGTGGGACCCAGCAGCCCCCAGAGGTGCTGCAGTGCGAGCCCCAGCATTACCACTGCTACCATCAGTCAAACCAAGCCCAGCAGCCTCCAGAAAAAAACGTAGTATATGAGCGAGTGAGGACCTACAGTGGGCCCATGAACAAGGTGGTGCAGGCCTTGGACCCCATCGGCTCACGGGAAGTACTCTCCCCTCTCAAAACCGCCTCCTCCTACCAAAATTTGGTTTGGAGCGACCATTCCCAGGTACCATAAAGACAGCTATGCCTGGCTAGTGGAGAGGGGAAATCTTAAACCTGATTTCTTTTCTTTCTTTCTGCTTCTTTGCCTTTATATTCTCTATATAGGCTATCTCTTGGTGGATTGCAGTTATATATGCCTTGGATAGTCACCTCACCCAAATTCCATCTCTTGGTTGTTCTTTTATTTGCTAGTTCTTGTGGTTGTTTGTTTCTAGTTCCAATGATTTTCATAATCTAACCAGATCATAGGAGGGCTTATTTTCTGTTAGATTTGATTGGAAGATCTGATCCGAGTTATCGTTTTGCCCCTACCACAAAGCAATCCTCGACTTGAATACAGTAGATTTTTAAGAACAAGTTCCTACTCATTCATTTCGTAACAGAAGCAAACAGGTTTTTTTGTATCAAATATAGTGGTGCAGGGACAATGGCATATATGGAGTGACAAGCAATTATTTGTGTTCAACAAACAGTATGCTGCTCCAGCATAAGTGACAGGTGCAAATGTTTGTTGTCATATGCGTTTCATCTTCTGAAAATGACACATTGATTCTACAGCCTAGATGAATAATTTATAGAATATTGGTAGAAAGAATACTGAAAGAGTGGATATAAGATTGAGGACAGCAAGATGTAAGCAATTAGTATATGAAAGCTATAAAAGATAGAATTCTAAGACACCATTTAAGATTAAATAAGTTTGTTTTTTAAGGGTTTTTAAAAAAAAAAAAACATCAATACCTATGCTAATAATCTCGCCAATAAATGAAAACTAACATTTCAAGACTATATAAAATTAACAGCTTTTTGTCTATTTTCTTTCTCTGACTCTCTTTACATTAAATTTGCATGTCTTTAAGTTTTCTGGAAACTTCTGTCTAAACTGAAATTATGTTTTCAAGATACAATTTGTACTGTGAAGATCTTAAATGCAACCATTGAGATACTATGCTATGTTACATTATTTCACCAATCAAGAATAATGTGGATTATTTTTCCCAAAACCACAAATTTAAGTAAGATATGAAGTGATATTTCTAAAGAACATAATAAAACTATTTTAAATAATTATTCAAAGATATAGATAACCTCAAAACTCCAAATGCCAAAATTTTACTCCTTTATTTTACTCCTAGCTTAATTTCAGGGAAAATATTTTTTAAAAGTCTGGGATTTACTGTCCGTAATTTCCTAGTTGAGAAAAACTCCACCTGTATTGAGGTCAAGGGGAAGAAAAACATAAAGGTCAAAAATACTAGTTCGTATAAGTGATAATAATAATGCAAATGCATATTCCAATATTCAGTATTAGGATGCACAACAAAGTGGGTGTCACCTTCATTCCATAGTAGCTCAAAAACAGTGGGAAATTTGACAACAACAATTACTATTATCATGGGAATTTTAAAATTTGTCATAGCTATTTAAACATATTTAGCTTTTTGTCAGCTTGCTAGTAAAATAAAGGTAAATAGATACATATTTAAAAGCTGAAATTTTGGAAATTATAAATATTTACTATAGAACAATTTTTAGGATCATGCTTTATTATTTGCTCTTTGGTTCAACTTTCCCTTTGACCCAGGACCAAGCTGGTTGAGCTTTTTACAAGATTTTTCTCCTTTTACCTGATATTTGCCAAAATGATCCTTATAAGACTATCTCTATCCTAAAATGTAGTTTCCCATGGAAGAGTTTATAAAGAGCCTTAGGGGCAGAAAGTGTGGCCACAGAAATTGGAGTAAGAGATTGAAATGGAAGGTACTATAAACTCTGAAGTTATTTATGATTGAAAAGAAAGAAAAGTAAGTGCTGGGCATGGGTAAGGGAGGTGAGAGTCAAGCTGTGTGGTAAAGGTAAAAAAAAAAGAAGTGTTATTCCCTTAGTGAAACAAGAAGAGAGAAAATTTGACTATAAAATTTCAAACTGAGTTTGCTATAAAAGGTCATTCACAAATCAATTATAAGATATTTTGACAAGACAGCTTTTAGATGGCCGCCACAAAGAATGTGACTAGGAAACTCTTTTATTTTCCTTTCTCCCTGTTTATTAGTGGGATGGCATTGTGGCATTGTGTAAAATAGTATTTAGATTTGATCTGAAATTACTTTCATGCTGACAAAATGGGTAAGTTGTGATGGCAGCTTTATTATGTACCATGCCAAGCATGAGCAAGCAGCACATATTACTCAAAACCCTTTTATTCCTTTTATGTTTTAATAAAGTCTCTCCATAATATGCCATGTTTCAGATGAGTTAATACCTAGTGATTATTCTGATGCCAGAGTTTGTAACCATGGCAGCTAGCAAAACGGGTATTAAAATCAACTGTTGGTTATCATGAATTCAATTAAACTTTTATTTTGTTTTTAGCCTCTTGGCATTAGGATGACATGAGATTTTAAAATAAATATTGCCAGTAGTGAAATATGTTCCCTTTGAGAAACAAAAATTTATGCCATTCTGCTTTGCTTCCTGAATTTTAATTTTAGCTCATGTAGTAGACATTTTAGATTTAACCAAATGCTTTTTACAACACTTTAGTATTTTCTATTTCTGGTGTTTTAGTACATATTTTCCCCTATCACCCACTTTTACATTAAAATGGTGTTTATGAATATAAACATATTTTAAATTTTGCCAGATATATAATGTTGCTTTGTTTCTTTTCTATAATTGATCAGATCAGATATATTTTATGGTTTTCTCGGTTATTATTTTTTCTGACTAATCGGGTGTTTCTCAGAGAAAATTAAATGTAGAAACCAGTTGCTGGTGAAATTAACTAAATTAATGGGAGAATTAAAGTTACTGAGTCTATCCATATAAACAGGTATAATCAAACACAGGTATAATCAAGGTCACAGAGGCATTTTAGAACTGAATGTGATTTTATAAATAAACAGAGTTCTAGAAGGCTTAAAAAAAACTTACAATTCAACCTTTAAAAAGGCTTAAATACTAACCTACCATCATTAACTCGATATTAAATACTGCCTTAAAAAAAACAGCATTGACATAAATTACTCACTGGACTTACATTTTTCCATTTCTACTAATTTAGGTTTTCACAAAGTTCAAGATATCTTCCATATATACAGAGGAGCTTTGTTGTGAGAGAGAGAAATGAATCAAAATAAATTATTTTTAATACCAATCATTCACTGAACACATGTTTATTAAGTGCCTATTTTGTAGGAAGCACTGTGATTTTCTGGATAAATACCATTTACTTGTCCAGGGAGAGTCCACTTAGAGGACAGACATACAGGGCCTGATCTGTAGGTGTCCCCTATATCTATCTATATTTCATTTTAAAACATTATTTTGTGCTGTGGCTATCAGTATTTCATTGACTGAAACATATTTTGGTGAGAGAAAGGATATTTTAACGTATATGTTTTAAGAGTTGCCATTCTTTGAATTTGAAACTTGCAACCAAATCTAACTCTAGAGAGCAGCCTAGGGGACAATGAGTGCTTATAAATGGCCTCCATTCCCAATAATTATTCAACTGGGGCTTGCCTTTGTTTAAATGATTTTTTCCCTTTTTCTTTGGTTGCAAAGATTGTGGATCATTCCCTGCTATGCCAGGATTTCTATACACTATCAGAAAATTTTCCTGTTCTGTGGAGAGGGGTGTGTTGCTTTGATAAATTGTTGTTCCAGGGTGTGGTCACTAAAGGGAATGATTGTTCAAGGAAGTAGGTTGCCTGAAAAAAGAATGAGGTCATAGGATAAAGGGGCTGGGTTTTCAGCTTTGGTCATCCCTTTTGTGCTTTCAATTAAATGAAGCTATAGAAATTTCTCAGTGCAACTAATTGCTGGGTGAAAATGCCCATGGCAATTGTCTCTTGCTTAAGGGGGGGTCTGATAAATTGCTGGGCCTGTTTTCAGTCAATGGCACTCACAAGCTGTCATTGTGTGTATTTGGGGGGAGCATGTAGAGGTGGAAAGGGGAAGGGAGGGGAAGTTTTCCTTCAACTGTTGTCCAAATTTCTTTTCTTGACAATTTATGGTAAAACAATTGGGAGATTTACTATGCTCTTAATCCCTATTTAAAAGGTAAAATCTTTCTAAACAAATATATTTGAGGCAACTTTTTCTTCACAGAGGAGCTCTTCCAACAGACATCCTTTTCTGACTTCCAGTGGAGGACATATACAGTTCTTAAAGACAGAAAAGGGACTGCACAGCCCTGCAAAGGGGCTGTATATTTTATTTGCTTTCCATCTCCTAGTTTTCTTCAGGAAAAGAAGAGAAATAACCCAGGAATGAGCCTTTTAAATGAGGGATTGACATTAGGGAGAAAGGAGGGAAGTAGTTCTATTATGCTACATTCTGTTGCTTTCTTTACATGACAATAGAACCACAGATTTTATCCTAAATGAAGGAAGTGTTTGTTTCATCTAAAGAGAGATCATTATAATTTACATGATTTTTGCTGTACAATGTTCAATATAACATCTCAATAACAACCTAACGCAGGTGTTTAACCGTGTTACTGGTTTTGAAAGATTCTAACAAAAGCATCTCCCATAGTGTTCAGGGAATTTATTCAAATGTTAGTTTGCCTTGGCAAATTCTGTCAGTATAAATGTCAGGTGGTTTTTAAAGATACTTCCTCTTTTGAAACTGTTCAACCTAGGCTGTTTGTAACTCGCTGTTATTACTTTCAGTGATTCTCATGGTCACTGGGACTGACAGGAGCACCAACAAGGCTCCTGTGATTTTCCTTCCTGGAATGTTATATTATATATTAATCTTTAAGTAAAGCTTTAAAATTCAAATTAGACAACATGAAAAAGTCCCATGTTCATTCAAAAAGCTTCCAAATATTTAGAGAACAAAGTTCTGTACTATGTATGTAATGTTCTATTATCTAATTCTCATTCCCATCAGTCTCTCCTATATCTATCGGACCAGGGTCTTGAGCTCTTTGACCAGAGCTATCAATAGGAAAACAAAAGCCAATAGGTATTGACTGAAAAGGTTCAGATTTTA